CAATTTGATGTTGAATTCCATGCAGAGGTGGAAGTTGCATCGGAACGTCTTCAGCAATCACATCATCAAACTTTGTAATCAGTTCCTTGACACGTGGTTCCAAGAATTGTTCTTCCTGCTTTTGCTCTTCCTTTGCCATGGCTATGTACACAGGTTCCCCTTTGTTGATTTGATCAATAACCTCAAACCTGGTCATTAGAGTATCACGCATGGGCTGATTCTTCTTTGCAAGCTCGTTTTGGTGCATTGGTCTCAAGATAATCTTATGCCCATCCTTTGTAAAGGAGTAGGTATTAAGATGCCCATCATGTAGGATATGTCTGTCATACTTCCACGGTCTCCCAAGTAATAGATGGCAAGCATCCATCTTCATCACATCACACCAAATCTGATCCTTGTAATTCTTGCCAATAGAAAAGGAGACTAAACAACGTTTGGTTACCTTCATGCATCCACCATCTTGTAACCACCGGATGTTGTAAGGTTTGGGATGTTTCTCAATCTTTAATCCCAACTTAGTCACCATCTCTTCTGAAACAGCATTAGTGCAACTTCCACTATCCACGATCACCGAACATACCTTACCATGTGAGGTTCATCTAGTGTGGAACAGTGCATCTTGCTGTCATAGTTCTTTATCTACATGTTCCGTATCTAAACTCCTTTGAATAACAAGCATCTCTCCATCATCTGGATCAACATAGGTGTCATTATCTTTTTCATAATTGTCATCATCTACTTGCTGGTTGGCTTCGTTGTAAAGTTCTTCATCTTCATCAATCACCATAATAGCCTTTTGATTGGGACAATTAGCTTGTATGTGTCCAAAACCTTGACACTTAAAGCACCTTCTTCTCATAGCATCTCCTTGAGGTTTCTTCTCTTCAACCTTGGAATAAGGTGAATTAGAAGAATTACCTTTGTGGAATGCCTTTGAATTTCCACCACCGGAATTACTACTCCCCTGGTTGGGGTAATTCGGCCTCTTGTAGGAAGAAGAGGTCGATTTCTTCACTTCTCTTTGCTGTTGTTTCTCCACGTTTATTGCAAGCTTACAGACATCATTGAAAGTCCAATAAGGTTGCAAACGAATGACATCAGCAATACTCACTTTGAGTCCTCCAATGTAGCGAGCTATGGTTTGAAACTTTGGCTCCTTAATATCACACTTGAGCATGAGAAACTCAAACTCACGTGTGTAATCCGCCACAGTTAGGTCTCCTTGCCGAAAACTATAAAACTTCAGGTACGCCTCTTGTTAGTAAGTGTCTTGTACGAACCTTCTTTTCATCTCACTCTTCATCTTGTACCAAGATATGATTCGTACTTTGCCTAATCGTTCCCGTTCACGCTTAAGATTCTCCCACCATAAAGAAGCATAGCCTTTAAGTTTCACCGCCACCAACTTAACCTTTTTCTCCTCTGAATAAATACATGTTCAACTGTCAAAATCCACTCCACAAAGTCATCACCTTGTGTTTTGCCATCAAACTTCGGAATTTCCACCTTAGAATCATCTCTTGTTTTACGATTCCATCTTTGATTGTCAAACCTTCTTCTTGGCTGACCTTCTTCATCACTAGACTCGTCATACGCCTCTCCATGATTGGATTGTACTTTAGATTCGCCTCCACTTTCTAGTTCAGCCACTTCACGCCGTCGTTGGGGACGTTGGACACCATGTTCTCATCTAAGGGGTTGTGGACGTGCTTCTCCTTGAACCTGAGGGGCTGGTTGAGGTCGTGCTATTTATTCAAGCCTTAAGTGCATCATTCTCATGAATTCTGCAATGCTGTCACACATCTCCCTTTGACTTTGTTCTAGGACTGTCATCCTAGCTTCAACCGAGGCTTTGAGATTGTTAAGATGTTGCAGCATCTTGGACGGTCTTTCTTGTAACCATGTATCTGATACCAAATTGATGTGATTTTCGACTAGGATGAAAGAAATTCATGTAAAATATGATCGAATAAACTCTCACGCGAAAAAACTTAATTGATCGAATAAAATAGATTGTCCCAAAGTCACCACTTGCATTCAATCAACGTGATAAAGAAACACCACACGAAAATTAAAGAACAAGCTAAAGACTCACACCACCTTGTCTGGAACAGAAAACAAGGATAAAGAAGAAAATAGCATAACATGCCACTTTTATTAATCACTAAAAAAAACTGCCCACAATTCAACGTGTAAAGTCCCTTTTATAAGCCTGGGGTTGTACTTAAAAAGAGTAAGGTTGACAATTAACTAAACTTGCCTAAAAAACAAAACAAGAAAGAAAACATAAATGTGTGTTGAATTACATAAAAGGAATGTAAATAAAATCTTAGAAATCAAATTAATCCTAGTTTCCAAAGAACTGTAAAACATAATAAGGGAACTTCTTCTCTTGACTCCCACGCCTAAAGGTTGCTTCTTTGGGCCTTCAAAATTCAGACTTCTTGTAAACAAGTCCACACGCATGCACCTGGACCTATTGCATGTCCATCAACACCAATTAATCTAGCTTGGTCGAATTCAACAAAGCCCACCAAAGCTTCTAAGGCTTCTGGGTTAACTTCAGCTTGGGCTTCTTGGCTTCATTTTGCACCATTCTCCTCTGGTTGAAAAGGAGTCGTCCTCGAGTCTAAAGGCTCCACAAATGGCGTAAGATCAGCAACATTGAAAATTGGGGACACTCCATAGTCATCTGGAAACTCCAACCTGTAAGCATTGTCACCCAATTTCTGAACCACTCGAAAAGGACCATCAGCTCTTGATTGCAACTTAGGATACTTTCGGTTAGGAAACCGTTCCTTCCTTAAGTATATCCATACCAGAATGCTTCCCAACAAGTGTTGCATTATGATTGAGGACCATTTGGCATTGTTTTTAGAGGTTGTTTTAAACTTTTTTTAAGAAGCTACTGCATATCAGGGTGTTTGATCAAACCTGCTTTTGTTCAGCAGCTTCTAAAACTTGCTTCCCTACAACAGAATTTAAAAAGCAGGTCAGGAGTTGCTTTTCCACAGCAACTTATGTTGTCATTGTCTAAATTTACTAAAATGACCCTAATAATAAAACTTAATTCTCAATCAACTTATTTTATTTCTTCCAAATCAAATTGAAGGATATATTTTATTTTAAATGTCTATTTGAAAATTAAAAATCTTTAATAAATATCTTATGCTAAATTTTAATAATATATTTTTATTATAATGTTGCAAGTTTGAAAAATAATTTACCTTTAGTTCTTTACGTTATTTGATTTCTTTATAGATATATAATTTTTTTAATTGAATAAAACTAATTTATTTTTAGAGATATTTTAATTAGTAAAATGAAAATGATATGTTTTTAGTATTTTGGTGTATAAATATTATGAATATCAACTATAAAAATAGAATTAAAACTAATTATAAGTATGTGTATTAAATTATGTCTATTTCAGTCATTCTATATCTTTACAACAATTTTGTACATAGTTTACTAAACACTTAAATTTCTGCTTCTAATATTCACAGCAACTTTGAAAAAAAATTTACCAAACAGTTACATGTTTTCGGTCACAGCAACCTCTGACTAACAACACAGTAACAACAAAAATTTTTAACAGCACAGCAATGCCAAATTGACCTTTAGTAAATTGAGCATACTTTTTTTCTTTTGAAATACATTAAGCATATTTCTCTATTTAGAACAATAACACCTATGGCCTAATGTTGAATGGTGTGACGTGAGGAAACAAAAAGTTTTCTAATTCTTAATCTTATGTTGAATGTTTTAAAAGGGCTCGTTTACTTTACAACCTTATGTTCAACTAAACTTTATTACTATGCGCCCCTAAAATTTTCTTACATCCTAAACTTTTTGCACAATATTGCCAAAAAAAAATTATTCACACTCTTAATTTTTACTTCTGATTATACTTTATCACACAATTAATGTAGATTAAAGTTTTACTTTATCTCAAGTCCCATGAAAAGCTTTTTTTTTTTTTTTTTTTCCCTAAGGTGAATCTATCCACAATTAGTGGAAGTGTACGTGGACCATGAGAGAAAACGAGAGTGCAAGACCATCCAAAGAAGTTATTATTATCATATCATGCAAGGCTTATGCTTACTCTCACGTTGCTCTTTGTTTTTAAAAAAGAAAAAAGAAAAATAAAAGAGCTTGTCACTCCCTGTGAATCATATACAAAATAACAAAAAAATCTCTAATAAAATAATTCCATAATAAATTGCTGAACATTTTCGATTAAGAAAATTGACACGTCCGAGAAAAAAAAAGTTAAATACTCCCCGATACATCAGGTCTTTCAAGTATTATGTGAATTTGTACTTTAAAAAATATGTAAAGTCTTAAGCCTCACAATCGTATAATTCAGTAAATATATTTTTTATATTTTTGTGTAACATAATAATATATGTGTAATATTGAGTTTGTTTAAATATAATATTTAATAATATATGTGTTGTATTACCTTTTTTAAATGTTACAAGTGAAATTAAGTATTATACAAACGAAAGAATTATATTATATGATTTAGAAAAAAAAAAGTTAGAAACTCGTTTAATTTATTAATTTAAAATTTTAATTTAAGTTAATATGTGATTTTACGTGAGAATTTTTTATTATAATAAAAAAATTAAATATAATTATTTTTAAATTTTTTTTATTATAATAAAATTTAAATTATAAATTTAAACTAATAAAATAAACAACACTAATATTTACCGAGAATCGGACTTAACATTTCTTTATAAGATACATAAGAATCACGTAGAATCCGAAAAAAATGAATAAAAAAACAAATAATAAGATTATTCTTACAAAAGAGATTCTTTTCAAGAAAAAAAGAAAGAAAAAACCCGAAAAGCATTAGTTGGGAAGTTTGGTATAGACGTCCAGCCTGGCAGTGACTGACACGTGGACAATAACAAGATGTCCCCCTGTTTTATCTGTTAGCATTAGAAAACTTTCTCGTGCTTGTTGCCTTTTTTCTCATCTTCTTCTTCTTCGCAAACCAGACTCTAATAAAAAGGCAAAGCCAAAGCAAGGATTTTGCCTCTCCACTTAAAACCGAGAAAAGACGGAAAGCAAAAACAAGAAGTGACAGAAAATCTTGCAGATCAGAAATGGTTAGGGTTTTGGAAATCTGAATCCTCAATCACATTCTTTCCAAAACCAACCATTATCATTCTCTCACTCCTTTATAATGGCGACGCCATTTCCGAGCGGTGTTGGTGGTGGAGGCGTGGCTGTAATGGCGGGTCCGGTGAGCTCTCTCGATCCTTCGCCGTCGAACAACTGCTTGCGTGACTCTTCGCTTGAGTCCCCAATCTTAATCTTCTTGCTCTTCCACAAGGCCGTACGCGCCGAGCTCGACGGCCTCCAACGCGCCGCAGCGGCACTCGCCACCGGCCGAGAAAGCGGCGCCGATGTTAAGCCCTTGTTCGAGCGCTTCCGCTTCCTTCGCGCAATCTATAAGCATCATTGCAATGCAGAGGATGAGGTGGTTTTGTTTTGTCTATGAATTTCTTGAATTCGTGAATTTTGAAGTTGATTTTTTTGTTGTTGTATTTCTTCGCAATTTTGTTTATTTATTGCTTCTTCGATGTACGATGTTGCTTTGGATAAATGGATTGTCTTGATTTAGGTGTGGATGCTGGCTTGGATTTCATTTTGGGTTCTTTGAATTTGGAATTAATGAGTTTAAGGCCGTAAAACTGTATACTTTTATTTAATCCAACATTTTGGTTCGATAATGGAAGAAGGCTTAACTTAATTTCAGCTGTTTGAATATGGAAACAATGCAAGGGTGCGAAAATATAAACTTTATAGTTAGTTATATGGTTGGCTATTGCATAGATTTGGAACTGTTTTCCCCTTTTTTTTTCTTTTTTTTTTTAAATTCCTGTCTTTGTTGTTGTTTTTTAATTCTTTTAGCTTTATTTTTTCGGTCATTGTTTCAAATAATCACCAACTTGTATTTATGAGTACCTTTCTAGTGTTTAAGTGCATGGATCATAAGGCAGTTTGAAGTATTACTTTGAACAATAAAATTTCTATTCGTTTGGAATGACCTTGTACTAATAATGTGCACAAGGACATTTCTTACCGTTGGAAAATGATGGTCACAAGGCCGTTTTGACATAAATCTCTCTGAATTTGTCTCAAGAGTGTGTAAAGTCGCAATGTCATGTCATTCATGGTGGCATAATTTGCAAACTAACTGTTCATTAGTCGTTTGCTTTCATTTTTTTTTTTTTTTTTTTGGGGGGGGGGTATGTAGATTACATGTGGGACACTAAGTTTTGACATTTTGTGCTTTCAAAACTGTAGGTCATCTTTCCTGCACTGGATATACGTGTGAAAAATGTAGCTCGAACTTATTCCCTCGAGCATAAGGGGGAAAGTGTACTTTTTGATCTGCTGTTCGAGCTGTTAAACTCAGATATGGTAAACAAAGACAGCTTTTGGAGGGAATTAGCCTCTTGTACTGAAGCACTTCAAACATCGATTAGCCAACATTTGTCTAAGGAAGAGGAACAGGTAGTTGTTTCATTCATTGTACCTTGTTAGTTTTGTTTTATTAGCATTTGACAGTAACCATAATTCCTGAACCACAATGATACCTTCTGCATTCTTCGGTTAGATTAAAACCCCTACTGCTTTTCGACTGTAGTCAGGCATCAAGAACATATCAGGACCCAGGAGTAGTTTAGTGCCGAAATGCTTATTCTAGAAGATAGTATCATACTGAACATGATTTACTAGTAGCCGGTTTTATCACACTGCACTTTTTTCTAACTAATGTAAGCAATATAATACACAAAAGGAAAGGCACTTACATTTTATATGTAAATTGGTATGCCATGTCATTCAAATTTCTCTAAACATCACAGTAACATTGCTGAGGTGGTTGGCAGCAGGGAGTCGTCTCTTACCATATGCATGTACCCTTCCAAATACCCCTACAGTATTGAGTATGCTGGGTTAAGCTTGCAATTGAATTTGGCAGGTCCTCCCATTGCTCATTGAAAAATTTTCATTTGAAGAACAGACCTCCTTGGTCTGGCAGTTCCTGTGCAGTATTCCTGTTAATATGATGGCAGAATTTCTTCCATGGCTTTCTTCTTCTATATCGTCTGATGAACATCAAGATATGTGCAAGTGGTTGGGCAAGGTAGTACCAGAAGAGAAGCTTTTGCAACAGGTAATGATTCTTCCAACAGCCTTAATGATATAGTTGTTTCAACTTTCAAGGAAAGCAGGCTGATATTTACATATATAACATGAAGGTCGTGTTCTCGTGGATGGGAGGTATAAAAATGCCTGATACAAGTGAAACTTGTAAAGATAGTTCTAACGACCAATGCAAGGATTCTGCGCCTGCTGCTTTAGTCAGTCAGATAGAGAAAGGACACTATGCATGTCAACCTTCAGAGATTGATAAAAGGAAACATCAGGATTTGAATTGTGATCCAACCACTTCTATGCTTGTAAGTCCTATCGATGAAATATTACTTTGGCATAAGGCTATAAGAAGAGAGCTGAACGATATAGCTGATGCTGCAAGGAAAATTCAACTCTCTGGGGATTCTGATTTGTCTGCATTCAATAAGAGGCTGCATTTCATTGCAGAAGTCTGCATTTTTCACAGGTAGAGTTTCGGATGTGTTTTCTATTGGTTTCCCCTCTCCACCTCAAGACCCAGGACTTTCTTATAATGCAATACTTCTTTCCTTCAGCGTATCAATAAATCAATCTTCTGGGTCACGTCTAATGCACGAAAACGTATATTCCACAATAGATTCTCTGGGTCATAAGATTTTTGTCTGACTTTGAACTTGGAATTCCATAAAATCTAAGTTTTCGTTGCCCATTTTTCTTCAAGGTTTGTTGAACAATCCTTGAAGTCCCTGTGGTTTTCTATCTAATGTTCTTGAGTAGCTTTGTTTTATTTTTTGCTCATGCCTCAATGGGTTTTGCAAATAGATAATCTCATTGACAACTCCCACTCTGACCAAGAAGAAAAAGTACATAAAAGAAGTGTGTGATTACTCTTTTTTTTTTTTTGGGGAATCTTTTACTTTTTTGCCCAAAATCTAAACCTTGTGAAATGAGTTGCTTTTGGTTTTTCTGACTGTAGCATTGCTGAGGACGAAGTTATATTTCCTGCTGTAGATGCTGAAATCTCTTTTGTCCATGAGCATGCAGAAGAAGAGATTCAATTTGACAAGCTTAGGTTCCTAATAGAAAGCATCCAAAGTGCAGGAGCCAAGTCATCTTCTTCAGAATTTTGCATGAAATTGTGTTCTCATGCTGATCGGATAATGGACAGCATCTTGAGGCACTTCCAGAATGAGGAAGCACAGGTGAGTGGTTTCTTCTGACTTCCAGAATGAGGAGGAATTAGAGAGAAGGAGAGAGAAATCGAAGAGAAATTAGCGATTTAGAAAGGAATTTTGATACAGGGTTGAGGAAGAAAAAGTTCAAGAGGGAGAAATTCTTTATTCAATAATCATAGTCTGCATTGCCCATAATATTGTAACACAAGACCAAAACAGGACACTAAATATACGAATTAAATGCAAAAAATAAGGAAAAACCAACCAGAATCAATCCTAATCAACGTGATCCACATCACTCTGGTTTCCAAGTGAGAAAGTAGAAAAATTCTAGTTAGTTATAACATAATGTTCCATAGGCTATCTAATCAGTGCATTGCATGTTATAGGTTCTTCCACTTGCTCGAGAGCATTTTACTGCTGAAAGACAGCGGGAACTTTTATACCAAAGTTTGTGTTTGATGCCCTTGAAATTGATAGAGTGTGTGTTGCCATGGTTCATGGGGTCACTTAGTGAAGAAGAAGCAAGTTCTTTCCTTCAAAATATGCGTATGGCAGGTTATGTATCAGTTCACATTCCTTAAATTATTACATATAATATTTCTGGGTTTAAAAAAAATTTATTACTACTTTTTTTTCAACATTTTGACAACAATTGTTGTTTTCTACATGCTTTTTCTGTTGCCATTTCGTTTAGTCTACTTGCTGACTCGCAGAGTCATCTGTGCAGCCCCACCTGCAGATTCCGCATTGCTTTTTCTTTTCTCTGGTTGGGCATGCAAAGGTTGTCCTACGGATGTTTGTTTATCTTCAAGTGTTACTGGGTGTTGTTTGACAAGTTCGCTAAAGGGAACTGAAGGCAGTGTTGGTGAAGCAGTCTCTAGATGCAATTCTATGTTTTCTGCGGAGGAAGCTTCTAGTATTCACGAAGATAGCGAAGATGGCAATAGAAGGCCAGTCAAGCGTAGAAACTTGGCATCAATGAAAGATAGTGTTTCACGTCGCCCTATAGAAACTGCAAAAGGCCTTGAATTATCTTGTGGCAACCAGTCTTGCCATGTCCCTGGGTTAGGTGTAAATGGGAATAATTTTGGAGTGAGTTCCCTAGCTGCGTCAAAATCTCTGCGGTCATCATCTTTTGGTCCTCCTGCTCCTTCCCTAAACTCAAGTCTTTTTAGCTGGGGAACAGATGTAAGCGCTACTGAGAATGGATGTGATATACGACCTATTGATAACATATTTAAATTTCATAAAGCCATCTGCAAGGATTTGGAGTATTTGGATGTTGAATCTGGAAAGCTTAATGACTGTGACGGGGCTTTCCTTCGGCAGTTCACTGGCAGATTCCAGTTGCTATGGGGTCTTTATAAAGCTCATAGCAATGCAGAGGATGAAATAGTTTTTCCAGCATTAGAATCTAAAGAGACTCTTCATAATGTTAGCCATTCTTACACTCTCGACCACAAGCAGGAAGAAAAACTTTTTGAAGATATTTCTTCTGTGCTTACTGAGCTCACGCAACTGAATGAATTCATGAACACTGGGTGTGTGTCCATTGATCATAATGATGCTTTAAGAAAGTATAAAGAGCTCGCTCCAAAGCTTCAGGGCATGTGCAAATCCATTAGGGTGACACTAGACCAACACGTTTTCAGGGAAGAACTTGAATTATGGCCCTTATTTGATAAACATTTTTCTGTGGAAGAACAAGATAAAATAGTTGGTCAGATAATTGGTAAAACAGGTGCTGAAGTTCTCCAATCAATGTTGCCATGGGTAACTTCTGCTCTAACGCAGGAGGAACAAAATAAAATGATGGACACATGGAAGCAGGCTACAAAAAACACCATGTTCAGTGAGTGGCTTGATGAATGGTGGGATGGAACTCCTGCTGCATCTTCAAGTGCTACAACTTCAGAAAATTGTTCTTCATCAGGTTTGAATGAGGCTTTTGTCTCCAATATTATCTCTTTTTTTTGTTCTTATTCTTTTTCTTTTCTAGCAGAGGCATGAGTGCTGTTTCCTCAAGATTCAAATACAGATAGATTTCACATTGTATTTAAGTTCTTTCCTTATGCACTCCTATCTTAAATTTCAGGGGCCAGTGTAAATGAAAGCTTGGAGCTAAAGGACATAACCTTTAAACCTGGATGGAAAGATATTTTTCGTATGAATGAAAATGAGCTTCAATCAGAATTTAGAAAAGTCTCTCGGGATTCAACTCTTGATCCTAGAAGAAAAGCTTATCTTATTCAAAATTTGATGACCAGGTATGTTTGTCTATTAATTAATTGATTACTTTTTCAGTTCACATATTCTGATCAATTAATGGGTTGTGCAGTCGCTGGATAGCTTCACAGCAGAAGTCGCCACTAGTAACAGCAGCTGATAATTCGAATGATGTAGATTTGCTGGGATGTTCTCCTTCATTTCGTGATTCAGAGAAGCAGGTTTTTGGGTGTGAGCATTACAAGAGAAATTGCAAGCTCCGGGCTACTTGCTGTGGCAAGTTATTCCCGTGCAGGTTCTGTCACAATAAAGTCAGCGATCATTTAATGGATCGGTAACTTCTTGTTATACAATTTTATACAAGCTTTTGAATTGGTGCTATATGCTTTATTCTGGACGCGTGGTTTTTATTTTAGTAATTTGCAATTTTACAGGAAGGCTACAGTTGAAATGATGTGTATGAACTGCTTGCAAATACAGCCTGTTGGATCTGTCTGTAGAACACCTTCTTGCAGGGAGTTTTCAATGGCCAAGTACTATTGCAGTATTTGCAAACTTTTTGACGATGAAAGGTATAAACCTTGATTAAATTTTTTCTTTCGATTTGAATTTCTTTTGTTGGAGAAATATCTGTCATTGATTGTATATTTTAAAACGATGGAAAAAAGAAAGCTATTTAATGAATCTAGAGTTTCCAATTAATTATGATTCATGCTAACTATAGATAGAAGATGTAGTTGGCCTAAATCTTGTGATAAATGCCTTATATCAATATAAAAAACAACACGATTATCAATTATATATTTCTTGTCCTCTGGTGGAAATTGTCTTGCATTCATAGTGCGGTAACATACTACTATAAAAGCGTCTCATTATCTGCATTTTGTCATTCTCTACACGTGAGAGTAACCTGAATGATTTGATATGTTTAGTATTTAGGCTCAGTTCCTTGTAAATTTGTTGTGTTGCAACTCTTATTTTTACTTCTTGGTGGATGTATTCTCAAATTTCTCATAAACAATTTCTTGTCTTCTTTCTGAGTTATATCAGGGCAGTTTACCATTGTCCATTCTGCAACTTATGCCGTGTCGGAAAGGGACTTGGTACTGACGTATTTCATTGCATGACCTGTAATTGTTGTCTGGGCTTAAAAAGCCCCGATCACAAGTGTCGGGAGAAAGGTCTAGAAATAGACTGTCCCATCTGCTGTGATTTTTTGTTCACATCAAGCGCAACTGTAAAAGCTCTTCCCTGTGGGCATTACATGCATTCAGATTGCTTCAGGGTTGGTTCTTTGACCTTTCTCGTCTTTTTTGCTTTGGTTCCAGTTCTCATTGTTGTTTCACCCTTTTCCATTTGTGGATAACTGAGAAAGGCTATATATTAAATCACGTTAATTCATTCGTCATATCAGGCATACACTTGCAGTCACTACATCTGTCCAATCTGCAGCAAATCTATGGGAGATATGTCGGTATGAATGTCTTCTGCTCGAACATTCCCTTAATACCAAAGAAGTCTTGTTAAAAGTTGATGAGACAATCTCGCACCAAGCTTTGTTTTCTGTAATAATTTCTAATTCATATATACGTATAAAATAGAAATGAATAATAATAGTTGCAAGAACAACATTAATAACAGAAATCACCCTTATGGTTATACGTAATGCTAGAAACTGCCACTAAAATGTGTCTCTTAATACCTATCAACGACGCAGCAGAATCTACAATAGATAAAATTAGAATATTCTGAAAGATGACTTAATGTTTGTATTTTTATATGGAAATAACTCGTATAAAATTACAAGTCTAAAGTCATTTTATAGACTAAGCAATGCTTGGCTCACCAGGACTCCTAATTCATGTTAATTACTAAATAAATAAATATCTAATCCTTATTATAATAGAGAACAAGTAGTCCTGATCTAAAAAAACTCAAAAAGTCAGTACTAGAAGTGCTAATGAAACCCAAACTGCCTAATTTTACTAAGTCTGCCCTACATCAATCAAGGTTTACTTTGGCATGCTTGATGCGCTACTGGCCTCGGAGGAACTCCCACAGGAATACAGAGATCGCTGTCAGGTACACTTTCTGGATATTCCATACTAAATGCGGTCCCCATTTCATCAGCCGAAATTGACTGATTTTTGGACGTTGCAGGACATACTATGCAACGACTGTGATAAGAAAGGGAGGGCACCATTTCATTGGCTCCACCATAAATGTAGCTCTTGTGGTTCATACAACACCAAGTTAATTAAGGTTGATCCTGATTCCCGCTGCTCAACCTCAAACCTGTGAGCTCGTATGGGTTGTCGAGGTTTTTATTTGATTTAGACACGACATATCAGCGGTAATTCTACCCACTTATAAATATTGAAAATGAAAAAAAAAAAAAAAAAGGTTCATCAACCAACAATAAGAGGCTGGTGAGCCTTGATGCTTTTTATGGATTTTAAAAGTATGTCAATGTAGAAAATGGAAGCATTCTTGCTTTGAGGTTAGCACAAGCCTGAATTCTAATTTTTCCCCCTTTTAAAGCTTCGAAAAAGCTTCTAAACTCAGGCTGAACTTGTAAATTGATGGCATCACATGGATAGAGTTTTTGTTGTGGACAAACTCTCCGAGGCGAAGGCTTAAGTTTGCTTGTGCAACATCGAGAATTGAAACTGCGTTCATGTGAGATATGATTTAGATTGTTAAGCTAATGTAAAATTTCTCGGCCTGATTTAGTTTCTTCGCATCTTATTCTCTTGCAAACTATCAAATGATATACAAGCTTTCAGAGGGAAAAAAAATGCTTTCTTAATAACGGTTTATTCTCATTTTCTAGCCTGTGGAGTGCTACAATTTAATGTTCTTAAAAATAAAAATAATAAAAAAATAATAAAAAACACTTGCTTTCAAATGGAGGGACAGTCCACATGGAATCTGAGGACCATGATAGCACGAGGATGCTCCCAACGCCCTCATGCTTTGTAGCTTTTTCTAGCTTGCAGAGTCGATGTACCTCTTTATTGTAACAGAGCAAGTCTCGGAGGCAATATTATATATTTGCGAATGATAATTAGGTCACCAGACATGTGACAACATGTCAGTAGTTTTACATGGTAAAATGTGAAACTAATAGTCCCATATAATTGTATGGTCGGGGTGACATGTTATCACATTTGTGGTGCTCATCCCAATTGATGCTAGATAATATATTTGTCCTGTGTGACAAAGCCATTTGGGAAATATTAGCGGTGAGTTTGAACCATTACTGAGTTTTGATACTATCAAAGACAAATTTTGTTGAACTTGAGAGTGTTATTGGAGATGTTTCGAAGAAACGACTGGGCTACTGGGAATTCGACTTCGGTTTAATTTCTTGCTAGGGCTTTTGCGTGCATTTGTTCTTTATGAGAACCAATTCCAAAAGGTGAAGCAGTAAATCACTGATTGGCTTCAAATGAAGTTTGGACTTTGGAGCTTAAAGCGGACTCGTTTAGTTCGTTGATTCGAATTGAGATGTGATTTTATGTGAGAACTTTTTATTATAATAAAAAAATTAGATGTGACTGTTTTTAAAAATTTTTAATTATAATAAAACTTAAATTAGTAAAATAAATCGAATCTTAAAATGTGTGTAGATCTCGTTCAAAATGAGACAACAGCCCACATTCTCCAGCTCTAAGCAACAAATCTATGACAGAAACAAGAAAATAAGAGAAAGACAAAAAAATTCCGCTCGAGTACCGAAAAAAAAGTACAAAGACAATTATTAAGCAAAGGGAAATCTGTGGTACTCTGTGGTAGGGTACCATAACAAACCTATAAAACTTTACATTGTATTTTCTGAGGGCTACATGCTATGATATAGTGTCAATGGACATGCAAAATTTGCATTTAAAAAGGACAAGGGGACAAGTACTTTTTAAGTGCATGAGTTTACATTTTATTATTTTTGATTAATGTCATTTTTAATCAAATAATTATATTATTAAAAAGGTATTAATCAATAGTAAAAAATAAAAATTTAGACTTATACACTATGGTCTCGTTCATTTCACCGATTCGAGTTTTTAATTTTAGGTTTTTACAGTAAAAAGCTCTCAGAAAATGTCACATCTCAACTCGAATTGAAAACTCGAATCTGCGAAGTGAACGAGACCTATAAGTTAAAAATTTTCTCATTTAGAAAATAAAAAAGAGAAAAATATAAAAATGCACCTCTATGCTACAAATAAATGTAATTCATTAAAATTAGAAGTGGTAGGCCCCGTTCATTTCGCTGATTCGAGTTTAGAATTCGAGTTTTGCTACAGTAAAAAGCTCTCACAAACAATCACATTTAACTTTTTTGCTACAGTAAAAAGCTCTCACATAAAATCACATCTTAACTCGAATTAAAAACTCGAATCAGCGAACTAAACGGGCTCTTAGTTCATAGATTCAGAACTATGATTTATGATTTTGATTTTTGAAATTTAAATTTTTTGTGAGAGAAAAATACTGTAAAAAATTAAAAACTATGATTCAAAATTAAGGACGAATATTTAAAATAAACATCCCAATAGTATCTCCTGTACCTCCCCAATGGAAATCGTGTAGCTTGCTTTTTTGCTGATTATGCTATTTTTGATTTTTTTTTATTTTGTTTAGTTCGATGATTTACGCGAGTTTTTGGGCTTCTTGTAAAACCAGACCTTGCTTCTTTAGTTTAATAAATTCAATTTAATTTTCCCTTCCAAAAAAAGGGAAAAATAAAAAATAAAAAAACTATTGGGCACACGACCAAGCCACTTTTGGGGACACTTGAACAGCATAATTTGTTGTTTAAGCTGAAGGAGAAGCACTTGGCCATAAGACACAACGACAAAGCCAACTACCATTCAAACCTTTATGACGATTTGCTAGACTTTTAGATTCTGTTCCCTTTTTGCACTTTTAAATTGGAAATAAGAAAATTCTATAGAGAAACAAATTTATGATAAAATTCTCACTCTATTTTAAAAAGATGTAGGCTCCGTTTATTTTACAGATTCGAGTCTTGTTACAGTAAAATTTTTTTAAAAATAATCACATTTAATTTTTTTATTATAATAAAAAACTCTCATATAAAGTCACCTCTTAATTCAAATTTAAAATTTAAATTAGTGAACTAAACATGCCATAAATATATGTATGTGTTCAAACTTGTCATGTTATTACAATTAATAAAGTTTTCTTTAGTAGTATTTTTAATATTGTTAAAAATATGATTATTAGGAAATTATGTGATTGTTAAATATTACGTTACAGAATTGCAAAAGAAAATAAAGAAATTGACTCTATTTTCTTTCTGTATCTTGTCTTCACTTTCTTTGCCAGAGCAGAACCAAAGTAAATCTAAGTCCTTTTCTGTTCTATTTCTCTTTGCAAGTGATGTAAATCAAAGTCGTTTTCCCATTTGTCAAATCAGTTTTTAAATGACTGAAAAAGGAAATTAGCAGCTTAATTTTGAGACGAAAAATTATTAAAATAAAAAAGCACCAGAAAAAAAAATAAAAAACAGAAAGGTTAATATTTACTGGGGTTCCACAACAAAATGTGGAAAAAAATACAAATACGTCTGAAAATTTTGTTTTTTTTAGTTAGAGTTAGAATTTAAATTAAAAAGTAAATTCTTGTGAAAAAAATTTTATAATAAAAAATATAAATTTATATTTTTATAAAAAAAATATTAGAATAAAAATTTAAATTGTAATTTAAATGGGCCGGAAAACTTCTTCTTGAAAGTAAACACATGTATATTTAAATCCATATATATTTATATTTTTGACCAAAAGACAAATTGTGTTGGCTGAAAATTGAAATTACGTAATAAAAGTGTTAGAGATAGAAGGAGAGAGCAATATCAAAGGGGGGAAAAAAGAGACAGAAAAAGAAAGAAAAGGCAAAAGAAAAAAGGAAAAGAAAGTTCTGCTAACGCGTTCTTCTGTGGAAAAAAAAAAAAGATAAAAAAGAAAATGAAAAACCCTAGCTCTCTTGATTTCCTCTGAAATCGAGCGTCATTTGGGTCAGATCGTGGAATTCCCAACGTACTGACTTTCTTGATTTCGCTGTGAGAGAAAAAAGAGGAAAAGGAAAAATTTTGCGATCCAATACTGCTTAGAATTTTGCGTTTGATATTTCCGGTGACTATTATTATTAGTATTATTATTTTCATGATTGGATCAATATCTCTGATAATTCAAAAGATATTGTAGTTTAGAGACAGAAACATAGGCGATGGGGTTAGGTTCGAAAATGGAAGGAACTTCGGCCCCTGCGAATAGGCGAGACCCGTACGAGGTATTGTCTGTGTCGAGGGATTCAACTGATCAGGAAATTAAAACCGCTTACAGAAAGCTTGCTCTCAAGTAAGTTTCAATCTTTTTTTTTTTTTAATTCCTCAATTATTTTGATTTTTGATTTTTTGATTTTTTTTTCGTTGCTAATTTGAAGTGATTGGAAATTGCCAAAATTTGTTAGGTTTTTGTGCATCTTGATTGCTAAATAAGTGCGTCATTATTGCAATGATTGGTCGCATTAATCTTTTGATTTAGTCAATTTGGATTTTTACGTGTCTGAATTTGCAGAATGAGAGACTGTTTTATTAAGGAGATCTAATGCGGGTTTCTTCTGATTTGAACATTTGGGTTCTTAAACGATGTTTTTTTTTTTTTCCATAATTTTTTGCTAGAAAGTCGGTTTTTCTTTGAAGGTTCGTCAAATTGGAACAATTGAAGGTAATTGTTTTCAGACTTTATTGGTGGGTTGTTTTTCTATTTCGTTCATTGTTTCCGAAAATGTCTGGTGTGTTCTAGTAACTGAAAAAATGCAGTCGTTAAAAAAACTCGCGAACCTATCGAGAATTTAACTGGATGTCCGCATTGTGAAATTTTGAAGTATCTTAGGAGATTCATGGACTCTAGTGAATTAGCTGAAATGGTATTAAAGCTGGGATAAGGGGGCGACCTACTTGTCCCACTCTGTTTCCGTTTCAACTATCAAGCCTTCATTTGGGTGTCTTTTGCTGTGCAAGTGTTAGGTTCCCGAACTCCAAAGCCTTTTTCTACTGAGTATCCGTAAGACAACAATAGGTAAATGAATGAAAATTAACCAGAAGATGGGTCTGGTTCTTGTATTTCTGGAAATAAAATGAAGAGTACAGATAGAAGGGGAATTCGAGGACCCCAAGCCTCCAAAAGACAAATGATTACAGCAAAATTCACGGTGCCCTCCCTACCCCTCGGTTGGGCTATTTATCCTACCCTCCTCTAACCCAAAAGGCCAATCCCCTAACAGATTCGGCACCCTCACCATCCCCAATCCCCAGATTGAGGATCCTAACAGAATTGCTTACCCCGAGACTAATCCTCCTTCAAATTACCAACCTGCCCTTGCCTGTCACTCTTCCTTCTTCTGGCATAAACAAACTTAATGGGAGGAGACCTATCAATACTCCCCCCCTCGAGTACAACCTTGTCCTCAAGGTTGAAAGCTGGAAATTGGTCCCGAATCACAGTAACAGGCTCCCAAGTGGTATCCCAAGAGGGAAGGCCTTCCTAATGAACCAGGATTTCGTCCACATGGCGCCCCCCGACGAGGATGGTGCGAGAGTCCAAAACAGCAGCCGGCCTGACAACCAATTCCAACTCGGCTGTCAACTGCTTAGGAAGTGGTTGACCCTTGTACTGCTGCCCCCAAAACTACTTCAACTGGGACACGTGAAAAACAGGGTGAATCCGGACAGAAGCAGGCAAATCCAAACGATAGGCAACTTGGCCTATTTTCTCCAGAACAGCGAACGGCCCGTAAAAACGAGGACTAAGCTTCTCGTTAACCTTCTGAGCGATTGATTTCATGAAATACGGATGGAGTTTAAGCAAAACTAAGTCACCAGGAGAGAATTGTACCTCCCTGCGATGCCTGTCCGCAAACGCTTTCATATGTTGTTGAGCCAAGCGGAGGTGGTCCTTAAGAACATCCAGCATTTGATTCCTCTCCTGTAATTGGGTGGCGACTTCATGGATAGCGGTAGAATCATCTTGGAACCGCTGGAGAGTAGGGGGTTCACGCCCGTATACTGCCAGAAAGGGAGAGCATTTGATGGACGCATTATAAGATGTATTGAACCAATATTCTGCCCAGGGCAGAAAAGACAACTAGGATCTTGGCTTGCCACACGCAAAGCAACGGAGAAAAGTTTCCAGACAACGTTTGGTCACCTCGGACTGGCCGTCTGTTTGCGGATGATAGGCAGAACTCAGCAAAAGCATTGTGCCCTGCAATTTAAACAGTTCTCGCCAAAACAGACTCATGAAGATGGTATCGCAATCGCTGACGATCGAATGGGGAAACCCGTGTAGGCGAACTATCTCCCGAACAAACAAAGAAGCCACCTGTTTTGCCGTGTACGGATGGGCCAAGGGACAAAAATGTGCGTACTTGGAAAGGCGATCCACGACCACCAAGATGGTGTCCATCCCCTTAGACTTCGGAAGACCCCCAATGAAATCCATAGCTATGTCCTCCCAAATTTGTTGAGGAATCGGAAGGGGTTGTAATAAACCCCGTGGGGAGAGCGCTTCTGTTTTGGTTTGCTGACAACGTTCGCAGTGTGACACAAAATCCCTGATAGCTTGTTTCGTTCCTTTCCAGAAAAAATTTGCTGAGATCCGTTTATGTGTCCGTAAAAACCCAGAATGCCCCCCTAAAACCGAACTATGGAAGTCGTGGAGCACCCGAGGGGTCCAAGCAAGTGGCAGAACTAACCTTTCTCAGAACCACAGCAAGTCGTTGCGAAGAACATAACCTTTCACCGACTGGCCGACCCTGGCGGATGGTGGTGATGATGTCCCGGTAGTCAGGGTCCTTGAGCTGACCCTGTCGGAGTGCCAACATGTCGACTGGCTAAGGAACGGAAAGGGCTGCGAATTCCATCGAAGAATCATCCCCCCTCCGTGAGAGGGCATCTACAACCCGATTCGCGGCGCCCGGTTTGTACTGCACCTCAAAGTCATATCCTAGGAGCTTGGTGATGAGGCGCAGTTGCTCTGGTGGTAACACACGCTGAACCAGGAGAAATTTGAGGCTACACTGATCGGCCCGAATGAGAAAATGCCGCCCCAAAAGGTAATGCCTCCATTTCTAAACGGCCAAAACAATGGTGAGGAGCTCCCGCTCATAGACTGACTTCAAACGGGAAGAAGCGGACAACATCTTGCTAAAATAAGCGATTGGGCGACCCTCTTACATCAGTACCGCGCCAACACTGCTACCCGACGCGTTGGTTTCGAGGACGAACAATTTTGAGAAATCCGGCATGGCCAGCACTGGAAGCTCTGTCATTGCGCGCTTAAGGAGGAGGAAGGTAGCCTCTGCCGTGGAAGACCAACTAAAAGTGCCCCTCTTGAGCAAGTCAGTTAGGGGGCGGGCTAAGGATCCATACCCCTGAACAAAACGTTTATAATAGCCTGTAAGGCCAAGGAAGCCCCGCAACTGACGAAAATTCCGTGGGAAGGGCCAAGATAACATCGCACTGACCTTAGACTGGTCCGCGGACACTCCCTCAGCCGACAGTACATGGTAGTTGTTCTGCCCCTGTCCAAAAACACATTTCTCGAGATTGGCAAACAACGCCTCCCGCCGCAGCACTTCCAACACGCTCCTTAAGTGTGCGTGATGATCCTCCCACGTCTTGCTGTAAACCAAAATGTCATTGAAAAATACCAAAACAAATTTCCGTAAGAAAGGGTGGAATACCGAATTCATTAGAGTTGGAAAGTGGCCGGTGCATTGGTAAGGCCGAAAGGCATGACGAGGAACTCGTAATGCCCCTCATGCGTCTGAAATGCCGTCTTCTCCACATCGCACTCGCTAACCCTGATTTGGTGGTAGCCTGATTTTAAATCCAGTTTGGAGAACGCCGTTGCCCCATGTAACTCGTCCAACAGCTTGTCAATGATTGTAATTGGAAACTTGTCGAGGATCGTTAACTGATTTAGTGCTCGGTAGTCGACACAGAAACGCCAACTAACGTCTTTCTTGCGGACCAAAAGTACTGGGCTAGCATATGGACTACTGCTAGGCCGAATAATACCTGAAGCCATCACGTCTGTGACCAGCCTCTCTATTTTAGCCTTCTGAACCGAGGGTATCTATAGGGTCGGATGTTGGGTGGAGAAACGCCTTCTCGGAGGACGATACAGTGCTCCTTTGCTCGTCGTGGCGGTAACCCCTCTAGCATGCTGAATACGGCTTGGAACTCCCGGATGAGGTGCTCGCACCCTGTTGGGAGTGGCCGTATATCTCCCTCAACGACTCCGTCTTAGGCTGCACGGATTTCCAGGAGCACCCCAACCCTGGTATGGTTCCAGATTCGTGACAAGGAACGCAAGCTAACCGGCGAATAACTCAAGGAGGGGTCCCCCGTCGAACAAATCCACTCCGTCCCCTGTTGGAAGCGCATGGTGAATTTAGCCCAATCAGCTCGAACTTCCCCTAAAGTCCTCAGCTACGAAATCCTCAACATCAAATCGGCATTGCCCAGCTCAAATGGGAAAAAATCTTCGATTATCCAGTGCCCCTGTACGAAAACTTTGACCCCACGACAAACACCCCTCTGCTGGAAACTCATTCCATTTCCCACCTCAATCTTGTGTCGGACAGACAAGTCCGTGGGAACGGCCAAGAGAATCACCTCCCGTCCGCCCAAGGTCCCTTTTAGTTTCATGGTTTTTGCCGTCGCCATAACTTTAAGGGAGTTTAGAGAGAGCCCTAGAGCCTCTTCCGTTGACTCTCCAGTGACTTGGGCCCGCTCTTCCCCGACCTCACGACCGTCTTTGCCCACTGCCAGGAGAACTTGCAGTTGCCGGTTTCTGCATCTGTGGCCTGGGATGAATTTTTCGTCACACCTGAAGCATAACCCGTGAGCTCGCCTCTGTTGAACCTCGTCGTACGACAGTCGCCGGTAATTGGAACTGCTTCCCATCGTTGAACTGGAAGCAAATGGGGAATCACGATTCCGATTAGAAAGCCCTAGGTCACGCGGAATTTGGGAATTTTGGGATCGAAGGTAGCTCTCGGATTTATCAGCTGTGATAACTGGCAGTGGAATCGGGTTCGGGTTGCTGAATCCAGCTCTGCCGCCCCACTCCACCCGGGTATTTTGACCCGCCCGAGCCTTACGGATCCTATCCACCGCATCCAAACGATCTTCAGCCTGTTGAGCCAAATCCATGTCCTCGTTCAAATTCATGGGCCTGTGCATCTGGACCTCAGCCCGTATATTTTCCCTCAGCCCGTTAAGGAACGCGCCTCTGAAAACACTCTCGGGTATTCCCCTCATCGTTGCCGCCAAGGACTCAAACTCTTCTCTGAACTCTACCACCATCCCACCTTGCCTGAGAGCCATCATCCTTTCCGTTGGGTCTCCCTCCCGTGAGCGGCCAAAACGATGGAGGATCGCATCCCTGAGGTCTCCCCAGCCCACGAATGGCTCTTGAGCGTCCAGCCATTGATACCAGCCTAGAGCCCTTCCTTCCATGCAGACAGACGCCGCCATCACCTTCTCTCCTTCTTCGATGTCGTTGATGTTCTGCTCGAAAGATCCACCCGTGTGGGTCCTCTCCGTGAAATAACGGTAGTTCAAGTTTCTTACCTCGGTGCTCCGTCCACCCGCGGGGTCTATCCGGAGACCAGTAGCGGTAGTAGCCATCCCTTCCCCTTGCTTGATTCTCCTTGGGGGACTTGGATCTGCACGTGCCGGACGGCCAGGTTCGCGCCTGGGTGGAGTTTGATCATTTCGGTTACCACCTGGGGGCGAGTAGTCCTCCCTGGGCCGCCTTGGAGGTGAGCGCTGGGGGCGAGCTTGTCTGATCATGAGCTCCTCAAGCTGGTTGATCATGCCTTGAATACCGTCCACCTTGGCTCCCATTGAGTCGACTTCTCCCTGTACCTCGCCGAGTCTCACTCCCATAGACGCCACGTCCTCCTGCAGCCTTGGCACCGGATCCACCAACGTTTCAAAAGACTGCAACGTATCCTTGAAGCTGTTCAGCCTTCTCTTGACCTGTCCCAATCGATCTTGCTGGTTCGCCATGGATCGTAGTACTCTAATACCAAATTGTTAGGTTCCCGAACTCCTAAGCCTTTTTCTACTGAGTATCCGTAAGACAACAATAGGTAAATGAATGAAAATTAACCAGAGATGGGTTTGGTTCCTTGTATTTCTGGAAATAAAATGAAGAGGACAGATAGAAGGGGAATTCAAGGACCCCAAGCCTCCAAAAGACAAATGATTACAGCAAAATTCACGATGCCCTCCTTTCCCCTCGGTTGGGCTATTTATCCTACCCTCCTCTAACCCAAAAGGCCAATCCCCTAACGGATTCGGCACCCTCACCATCCCCAATCCCCAGATCGAGGATCCTAACAGAATTGCTCACCCCGAGACTAATCCTCCTTCAAATTACCAACCTGCCCTTGCCTGTCACTCTTCCTTCTTCTGGCATAAACAAACTTAATGGGAGGAGGCAAGCCTATGTATCGTCTGCTGTGGCCTCCTACTTAGCACTCCCCACTTGACATTTCACGTTTAAAAAAGTTGAAAACTGTGCTATTGAGAGGCTTATGGAGTTTGCTTAAGTGCTGAATGAGAGGACAAAAGCTTATGACTAAAAAGGAGGTCAATGTTCTTGCAAAACTTTGTTGATTTATGTGCGTGATAGATTTTGAAATTACATGATGGTTTATTTGTATTAATCATCAGGGGAGCAAGTCTTTGGTTTACAAAATGGAGTGGATAAAAATCATTGGTGACATGGTGTGCTCTTGTACCCGTGACAGCTTTGAGAATTCACCATCGTCTGCCATTCACCTTGTAGCATTGTTGTTCATCTTTTTTTATTTCTTAATTTTAAGTTAGTATATTTCTCTAGAATTGTGTGTCAGATTCTTTCTGATTCTTAAGATCACTGTACAATGTGTTTTCAATGTAACTTTTAACTCCTTGACATCTCTTAAGATAGATGCCGTAAGTTGCTTTTCACTCATAATAATGGTTTTAGTTAAGGCTCCACTTGTATCTTGATGCCTCATCAAAGATGGTGTATAATTTTGAGCTCATTTGTTTCTTTGAATTCTTTGATCTAAATGACGTTGTTTATCTTGTTATCGAATAAACTTTTCTATTTTATGATCTCTTAATATAAAAAAGAAGATAATCATTGATTGATGAAAATCATTATTTGAAAATGCTTTTCCTGTGGCTCCTTTTTTCCCCGTTTCATATATATATATAATGGACAGGTATCATCCGGACAAGAATGCCAGCAATCCTGAAGCTTCTGAACTTTTCAAGGAGGTTGCATATTCTTACAGCATCTTATCTGATCCAGAGAAGAGAAGGCAGTATGATAGTACAGGATTTGAGGTGCTTTTATCTTCCTGTTTATTCATGTTTCTTTTTTATTCTGCAATATGATGAGATAGAAAAAATTGTTTAATGGGAATTAACAGAAACGTTTCTTTGAAGTCCGCTATATGGCTTTGAATTGTTGGTTTATACAGAGTTTATTAATCTTATTGGTTTCCAATGCCAAAACAGAGGGAAAAAGAAAACGTTCTTATATGGAGAAGTAAAAATGAAATGTTGATATGCTGACTCTGGCAATGGGGAGTGACCCTTGCTTTATTGATAGATGCGTCACGTATATGATTATGTTTCTTGTTTGTTTGTAGGGAGCGATTAATTCAATTGTTCAATTAAGCAGAGATTTTCCCTCTTTCTTTTTTGTTTTCTTCTTTTGTTCTTTCACTTTTTGTCAAAGGGTGGATGTTCTCTAGTTATGCCACATCCTTATCCTTTTAAGGTTTTCTAAAATTCTTTTAGGCTCTCGATGCTGAAGGCATGGACATGGAAATTGACTTGTCAAACCTTGGAACAGTCAATACGATGTTTGCAGCTTTGTTCAGGTGATCGATTTAGGTTCAATAAGTAAATGGGTCTTGATGCCATTAGGTGTGTAATGTTTCATTTTATTATTATTTTATTTATTTTTTTTTTGTCTATAGCAAGTTGGGCGTCCCTATCAAGACTACAATATCTGCTAATGTACTTGAAGAAGCTCTCAATGGGACTGTTACCGTCAGACCCCTTCCAATTGGAGCATCAGTTAGTGGAAAGGTGCTTGGTTAACTTGATATCGTGATGGATTTTGTATTCTTTGTGGTGCATTCCTTTTACCCTTTTTTTGTGCTCCAGGTTGAGAAACAGTGTGCTCACTTTTTTGGTGTAACCATCAATGAGCAACAAGCTGAGGCAGGGATTGTAGTAAGAGTTACTTCAACTGCGCAAAGCAAATTTAAGGTACATGATATATCAGTTGCAAAAATTTTGACCATATAATTTTTCTTGCAACATTTGATGATTATGGGGCATCTTTGATCTCTGTCTCTGTTTACTTACTCTTTCTATATCTACTCTTTAGCCTCTATCATATGTTAGCATAATACTAAAGTTGCACTGAATGCATCTTTCAGTTACTCTATTTCGAGCATGATGTAAATGGTGGTTATGGTTTAGCCCTACAGGTACTATCTATTATTCTCTGGTGCTTCATTCAGTTTCTGTTGTTTTGCTAGTGATTACTGCATATGCTTCCGTCACCATTTTGTTGTGGTATTCTAACTAAGTAGTCAAATAGGCTGGTTTGTGAATTATTTGGTACATGGTAGTACAAAGTATTTTGTTTTAGGGTTGTCTTCACCAATGGCCCCTGTCCCTGAGTATATTCACTTCTCACTATGGCCCCCAACATTCACTTTTGGAGGTCTAGCTACCCGAACATTTTTTAATTTGCAATAAACAGTCTTGACCCATTTGTTAATGAACTGTCTGTTTTCATATGGAATCTAGCATATGATGGCACATGAGGGTTTTAAGAAGGATAATGATTTTTTTTTTTTTTTTTTAAAAAAAACAAAGCAGATTTTGAAAAAATAATTCTAAAAGAAAAAAATTCCAGATCTGAAATAAAAAGCCAGATCATGCCCCCAGCCCAGATCTGGTTTTTTTCCTCTTTAGATTTTTCCCCCTTTTTACAGATTTGATTTTCATGCCTCTTAATGCCCTCTTGTGCCATTTTTGTGCCAAATTTCGGCCGACAAATAGACAATTTACTAATGGAGGGTCAAAATTGTGTATTTGTGAAGCTTTAGGGTAGCTTGATTTCGAAAAGTGAATGTTGAGGACCAAGTGAGACAAATAGTTTTCCTCAAGGGTCATTAGGAGTTCCGATGGTCCCCGAGTAGGAAAATCTGAATATTTTCCTAGAGACATAACAATATGGGATTTCCCAAGAGGTCAAATAGTCATCAATTTCTGCAAATTATGATTGATTAGGAGAATCAAGTTAATGAATTTATATGGTAAGTGTTAAACTGGATTTTACTTGCTATAGGTGGTATGGAGGAAAAGTGGGGATGAAGAGGGAAAAGGGTTGATGGAAAGAAAATGTTGTAGTTGTATGTTTGATAGAGGGGATTACTGAGAGGAAAGCGAAAGATAGGGGATTAAAATGATCCATCTGAAATTGGACAGATTTGATGATGTAAAATGTAAAGTCAAATGAAGTGCTTGTTTGTTTTATTGTTTTCTAACTTTGAGGTTAACATAGTTTATCAAATTATACTGCGTGTATATTCAGTCTGCTTGGGTTATTCATATCCTAGAGGATGGGATGAGTTGCAACTATCTACACCTATTTATTGGAATTGAGATTATGTTGTTGGTAATTGCCTTTTTATGAATATTGTTTCTATTAATTTTATTTTTGGGGTACATTGTGATACGAACCCCGCCAACAATGTGACGAAACCCATAGCCAAATATGGGATACAATCCAAGATCTTCAAGAATTGACGGAAACCGCGACCCGTTGCTTAGCGAAGCAAGAACCTTGGTATGGTGAAGACGCCACAAACGAGTATGAAAATTCGTTTGATAAGTCGAGTTTGAACGCCACAAGGAAAACCTTGATAAGTTCGGAATAGTTCTTCAAGAACTCAAGAAGAATAACTCACAATATGAATAAAATATCAAAACTTTATTAATTTTCGTTTTTTCAGCCTTAAATAGCCGAGTATAAGCTGAAAATGTTTAAAAATTGAAAAGTCCTATCCTACCCTTAATGAGGTAGGTGCCTAAATGAAGATAGACTCCTAAAACAAAATAAAATCACCCAAAGATAACTCCTAGGGAAGGAATCCGACTTAGAGTCTAATTCCTTCCTTTTAAAACACCTAAAACTAATCCTAGGGAATGAAATCCGAATTTGAATCCAATTCCTCCCTTAAATCGCATACTATGGAATTTAAATGTTTAATCCGCAATTTTGACTTGATCCCTTGCTGGAATGTGCCCCTAACTTCTTGGAACTTGCTGGAATGTGCGCCTAACCCCTTGGAGCATTCCCATGCACGTGAGTCTTGGGATGTCATGCGAATTTGGCTCTCTTACGGATCAACTTTAATGAGCAAAACTAGCATTTGTCCACCCTCTGTAGTGAACACACTTTCTTCTTGTTGTAGAACTCTTTGGACTAGGTTATTCAAGTCTTCTTTAAATCTTTTAGCTCGATACCTTGTCACCGGACCAACTGGAACTTGGATTGGATCATGAGTATTCCTTACATCCCTTATGTCCTCATCATTCCCCTCCTCTTGAGAAAGATTTGTCCTCAAATCTTCACCTACATCAAAAGGACTCAAGTCGGTAACATTGAAAGTAGCACTTACATTATACTCACCTGGCAAGTCAAGTCGGTAGGCATTGTCATTGATCCGTTCAAGCACTTGAAAAGGTCCATCTCCTCTAGGCAGCAACTTGGAGCGTCGTTGGGCTGGAAATCGTTCTTTCCTCAAGTGTAACCAAACCCAATCATCGGGTTCAAAAACCAACTTGTGACGCCCCTTGTTAGCTTGCTTGATGTATTGTTTGGTTCTTCTTTCTATGTTGAGCCGTGCTTTTTTATGAAGTTGTTTCACCAATTCGGCCTTCTTTTTGCCATCTAAATCCATATACTCTGAAACAGGTAAAGGTGATAAATCCAAAGGAGTTAAAGGATTAAAACCATAAACAATTTCAAAGGGTGAGAATTTAGTAGCGGAGTGAATGGTACGATTATAAGCAAACTCAACATGTGGTAAACATTCGTCCCATGTATTAATATTTTTACTAATGACAGCCCTTAACAAAGTGGATAAGGTCCTATTAACTACTTCTGTTTGACCATCGGTTTGTGGATGACAAGTAGTAGAAAACAAAAGTTTCGTTCCAAGCTTTCCCCATAACGTCTTCCAAAAGGAACTTAAGAACCTACCATCCCGATCCGACACGATTGTCCTAGGCATACCATGTAACCTTACAATCTCTCTAAAGAATAATTCTGCCACATGAGAAGCATCGTCAGTTTTGTGGCAAGGGATAAAATGAGCCATTTTAGAAAATCGGTCTACAACCACAAAGATAGAATCATTCCCGTGCTTACTCCTAGGTAAACCCAAAACAAAATCCATAGAAATATCAACCCAAGGTGAACTAGGAATAGGTAGGGGCGTGTAAAGACCATTTGGTTGAACCTTCGACTTAGCTTGCCTACAAGTGACACACCTACCACAAATTCTTTCAACATCTCTTTTCATGTGTGGCCAATAGAAGTGCTCTTGTAACATGGCTAGGGTCTTAGCAACTCTAAAGTGCCCCATTAATCCCCCACCATAGGATTCCCGAACTAAAAGATCTCTCATTGAACAATTCGGCAAACATAATTTATTTTCTCTAAACAAGAAATTCTCATGCCTATAAAATTTTCCCTCCGCTGCCTTTTCACAGGCTTTATACACTTCCCCAAAGTCGTGGTCATCATGATAAAGATCCTTAATATGTTCAAAACTAAGGAATTTAGCATCAAGAGTAGATATTAAGACATACTTTCGTGACAGTGCATCCGCAACCACATTTTCCTTACCTTGCTTGTACCGGATGACATAGGGAAAGGACTCAATGAATTCAACCCAGCGAGCATGTCTCTTGTTAAGCTTGTGTTGGCTTTTCAAATGCTTCAAGGATTCATGATCCGTACGAATCACAAACTCTTTTGGCCATAAGTAGTGTTGCCATGTCTCTAAATCTCGAACCAATGCGTGTAATTCTTTGCCATAAGTGGGGTAGTTAAGTGCAGCCCCACTTAGTTTCTCGCTAAAATACGCAAGTGGCCTTCCTTCCTGCATAAGAACAGCGCCTATGCCTACACCCGAAGCATCACATTCGATTTCGAACGTTTTAGAAAAGTTAGGTAAAGCAAGTAATGGAGCATGAGTAAGTTTGTGCTTAATAAGCTGGAATGCTTTCTCTTGTTCTTCACCCCATTTGAATGCAACGTTCTTGATAATTTCGGTAAGCGGTGCGGTGATGGTGCTAAAATCTTTCACAAATCTCCTGTAAAAACTAGCAAGTCCATGAAAACTCCTAACATTACTTACATTGGAGGGAGTCGGCCATGCTTGGATGGCTTTGATCTTCTCTTCGTCAACCTCAATTCCTTTAGCACTCACCACAAAACCTAGGAAGACAAGCTTATCGGTGCAGAAAGTACACTTTTAAAGATTAGCATATAATTTCTCCTTTCTAAGCACCTCTAAAACCGAATGTAAGTGTGAGGCATGGTCATGTAAGTTCTTGCTATAAATTAGAATATCATCAAAGTAGACAACAACAAATTTACCAATGAACGCACGCAAGACATGATTTATTAAGCGCATGAAAGTACTAGTGCGTTAGTTAATCCAAACGGCATAACTAACCATTCATACAATCCATATTTAGTTTTGAATGCGGTTTTCCATTCGTCTCCTTCTTTCATTCGGATACCCACTTTTAAGATCAATTTTTGAAAACACACAAGAGCCATGTAATTCATCCAACATATCATCTAAACGAGGAATAGGGAGGCGATACTTTACCGTTATGTTGTTGATGGCTCGACAATCAACACACATTCTCCATGTTCCATCTTTCTTAGGTACTAGAATCCCCGGAATTGCGCAAGGACTCATACTTTCTCTCACGAGTCCTTTCTCCATCAATTCCTCGACTTGTCTTTGAAGCTCCTTGGTCTCTTCCGGGTTGCTCCTATATGCGGGCCTATTTGGAATTGATGCTCCTGGAACAAAGTCAATTTGATGTTCGATCCCTCGAATTGGTGGTAAACCATGTGGTACCTCTTCGGGAAACACATCTCCAAAATCTTGCAAGAGAGAAACAACAACACTAGGCAACACGGGTTCAAGTTGGTTAGTGTTTAACAAGGTCTCCTTGTACATGAGTACAATCATCGGCCGTTTTGAAATCAATGCTCTTTTAACCTCACTTGTTTTTGCATAAAAATTTATTTTTTTCCTCTCGGGTTTTACCTCTTTGGCTGTGGGTCTCTCTTTTACCTCATTCTCATTATGCACGACCTCACTCTTCTTTTCTCTCTCTTTGTTTTGTTCCCTCAGTTTTTGTAACCTCACTTGGTCCTCATATACTTGTTTTGGTGTCAACGGAACTAAGGTGATAGCCCCGTTGATTGTGTGTGAATGAGTACTTGTTGGTGAAGCCATTATGTTGCACACGCCGATCAAATTACCATGGCCTTCCGAGAAGGAGATGTCCCGCTTGCATTGGTATCACGTCGCACAATACTTCGTCCTCATACTTACCAACTCGGAATGGTACAACAACTTGTTTTGTAACCTTCACTTCCCCGCTATTATTCAGCCATTGTAACTTGTATGGACGAGGGTGTTTTAGTGTTGTGAGCTCTAGCTTTTCAACCATTGAAGAACTAGCGACATTGGTGCTACTACCGCCATCGATAATAACACTACATACCTTGTCTTTCACGTGGCATCGAGTGTGAAAGATGTTCTCTCGCTGTGCTTCCTCTTCCTCTTCTCTAGCTTGCATATTTAGAGCTCGACGTGTAACTAGCCCAAGCATCTCCTCATGGGCTGCCCCAAATTCTTCTCCTCTTATGGTGGCATCCTCCAATGGTGGCATCCTCCAATGGTGGCATATCCGCTAGATCATCTTCCTCTTCCGAATCAATATCTCCATTATCCCATATCACCATCACTCGTTTGTTTGGGCATTGGCTTGCTATGTGCCCTCTTCCCTAACATTTGAAACACTTAATCTCACTGGAACGAGTAGGAGTAGGGGCTGATTTACCTTGAAAGGCTACTGGATTGGTGGCTGGTTTGTGCTTGGTTTTAGCCTTGAAGGGGGCTGGATCCTCGTCTTTCTTTGTGTAGTTCGGCCTGTTGTACTCGAATTTTGAGGGGCTGATCTTGGTCGTGGACCACTCCTCTTGAGCTTCTTTTCAACTTTGATTGCCATATGCACCAAATCCTCCAATTCCACATAATGGTGTAGCTCGATTGTGTTGGCAATCTCTCGGTTTAGCCCATTCAAAAATCTGGCCATCGTTGCTTCTCGATCCTCCTCCACGTTGGCTCTAATCATTGCCATCTCCATCTCCTTAAAATACTCATCAACACTCTGGTTACCTTGATGGAGACCTTGCAACTTGAGGAATAGATCTCGGTAGTAGTGGCTCGGCACAAATCTTCATCTCATCACCCTTTTCATCTCGTCCCAAGTTTCGATAGGGCGATCTCCGTTTCGCCTTCTATTGGTGCATACCTGATCCCACCATACAATAGCATAGTCAGTAAATTCAAATGCGGCAAGTTTTATCTTCTTTAGTTCGGAGTAGTTGTGACAGTCGAAAATCAACTCCATCTTCTTTTCCCATTCGAGAAAAGCCTCGGGATCACTTTTCCCTTGAAACGCAGGGATTTTCATCTTAATACTTCACAAGTTGTTATCCGCTCGGGTCCTATCTTCTCTACTCCGTTCATACCTCCTATGGCTGCCCACGGACATTCTATCAAACTCGTCCTCTAAATTTTTCCCTTCGAACTCTCCGTTATCCTCCACCTCCTTTCGAGGCATCACGTTCTTCCTTGGAGCATTCGGTGGTGGTTTAATCTATGGTGTTCCCTCTTCCACCTTATCTAGCCTCTCATGTATGTGTTCGAGTTCCACCCTCATGATCCGTTTCATCTCTCACATGAACGCCTGCATTTGTAAATTCGGCATGACAGTAGGTGGAATCTCTTCACTTGTGGTTTTCTCTTGGTTTTGTGACATGATTAAAAGACAAAAAGGTTTTTTTTTTTTTTTTTCTCGGAAAATAATTCACTCTACTCTCGTGTTTTAACTCTCGTGTTTCACTCAAGTTAATTGCCTTTTACCCTCTAATAAGCTCACACACTCTGCCTTTTTCCTCATATTCTTCTTTTAGTTCTTTCAAAACTAAACCAACAATAAGAAAAGGAATTCAAGTAGTCAATCAAGTCAAGACTTAATCCAAACGAATTTAAATATTGTCACGGAATTTTTTTTTTTTTTGACACTCAAACTTTAAGCGTTCCGAAACTATTGAAAACAAGTTTTTTTTGGCCCCAAAAACAGGGTCACCGGGCTACGCCCTGGTGAAGATTGTAGGGCTCGAAAAGATCTTCGATTTGATATATTATACGTCCCGTAACGAATCCTGGATCAAAAGTTATAGCAGTTTTCGTGAGGTTCCCTTTCTTTTTCCAAATTTTTTTTTTTTTTTTTTTGACTTTGTAAAACTCTAGTTGAATTCGAATTCAGCAATAGGGTTTGGACTCAAACTCAAAACAAGGAAGGGATGGTTAATCGTTTTCTCTTTTTTTTTTTTTTTTTTTTGAATTGAGAAAACCCTAACCCTAATGTGCGAAAAAAAAAGGATAGCAAAACTTGATGATCCTAAACTCTGATACCAACTGATACGAACCCCGCCAACAATGTGACGAAACCCGTAGCCAAATATGGGATACGATCCAAAATCTTCAAGAATTGATGGAAACCGCGACCCGTTGCTTAGCGAAGCAAGAATCTTGGTATGATGAAGACGCCACAAACGAGTATGGAAATTCGTTTGATAAGTCAAGTTTGAACGCCACAAGGAAAACCTTGATAAGTTCGGAATAGTTCTTCAAGAACTCAAGAAGAATAACTCACAATATGAATAAAATATCAAAACTTTATTAATTTTCGTTTTTTCAGCCTTAAATAGCCGAGTATAAGCTGAAAATGTTTAAAAATTGAAAAGTCCTATCTTACCCTTAATGAGGAAGGCGCCTAAATGAAGATAGACTCCTAAAACAAAAGAAAATCGCCCAAAGATAACTCCTAGGGAAGGAATCCGACTTAGAGTCTAATTCCTTCCTTTTAAAACGCCTAAAACTAATCCTAGGGAAGGAAATCCGAATTTGAATCCAATTCCTCCCTTAAATCGCATACTATGGAATTTAAATGTTTAATCCGCAATTTTGACTTGATCTCTTGCTGGAATGTGCGCCTAACTTCTTGGAACTTGCTGGAATGTGCGCCTAACCCCTTGGAGCATTCCCATGCACGTGAGCCTTGGGATGTCATGCGAATTTGGCCATGCTTGAGTAGCTCTCTTCCGGATCAACTTTAATGAGCAAAACTAGTCCACCTTCAGTAGTGAACACACTTTCTTCTTGTTGTAGAACTCTTTGGACTAGGTTATTCAAGTCTTCTTTAAATCTTTTAGCTCGATACCTCGTCACCGGACCAACTGGAACTTGGATTGGATCATGAGTATTCCTTGCATCGCTTATGTCCTCATCACATTGGAGATGTGATTCGATTGCAAAATATGAGCATGACGTGATGTGATGTTTGTTTTTTTATTTTTATTTTTTTTATTGCAATAAAGAACATTTAGTTGGTTTTGCCTACTTTGTGTTCAACTTATTAACAAATGGTAAGTTGACTGTCGCGTCATTTATTGACCAAATTTATTAAAAGTTTTTTGCATATTTATTTTGTTTTGTAATTTATACCACTATGTTCTTTAAAGCTGCAAGCATTGAAGCTGAAGTATCTAATGCCATATCATTCTCGCTTTTTATAGGAAGATAGTGAGAAGACGGGCAAAGTGACATCTGCAGGGATGTATTTTCTTCATTTTCAAGTGTACAGGATGGATTCAACTGTAAATGCAGTATGTGGTTCCTTTTTGTGTGCGCGTTTCCTGTCCTAAATCTCCCTAACTCTAATTATGGTTGTTCGTTAAGAAGTTTGTGGCTGAAGCCTGATGATTTTGCCCATATGTTGGTGCAGTTGGCTATGGCTAAGGATCCTGAAGCTGCTTTCTTTAAGAGGTTGGAAGGTCTTCAACCTTGTGAGGTCTTGGAACTAAAAGCTGGCACTCATATATTCGCTGTTTATGGTCTGTTATTTGGTTGCTTCATCTTTTTGCATAATTGTGCTGATAATGGAACTTGTTGGTAATATACTATTTTACTAATCTCTAACGTGATATTTTTCAGGAGATAATTTTTTCAAGACTGCTAGCTATACAATCGAAGCACTTTGTACAAAGTCATATGAAGATACAACACAGAAGCTTAGAGACATTGAGGCTCAGATTTTAAGAAAGAGAAATGAGCTTCGCCAATTCGAGACCGAGTACCGGAAGGTTTTGATCCTCTTATTTTAGCTGTGGCTTTTTATAGCTCTTTGGTCATAATTATGTTTATAACTTTCCTATAATACTTTTTAGGCATTAGCACGTTTCCAAGAAGTGACCAACAGATACAGCCAGGAGAAGCAATCGGTAAGTTCCATAGCTCGCTCTATCACTGCCCATACCTAACATACACTGAAATATATAATTCAGGTGCAATATATATCTCTGGAGAATCTTAATTTAAATTGCCTTGCAAGGTTTGTTGCATCTATTCATCTTTTAGTGTAAGATGCTATGCTACTTAATGAACATTCTACGTCATACTATTCACGCAACACCGTTAATACTTCATATAATTCTTTATTTTACTGCTGATTCCTGAGAAATGGCTGAATGTTCGAATAATCTATTTGAGTCATGTTTCTGGATTTTGCGACAGATTAGGCCTTGTTCCCCTTCCCTTATACCCACATACCTTAATTCTTGATTTTCCTTGAGTTACAGTTATAGAGTTGGTCTCTTTTGGTCCCAGTTCATTAGAACTGAACCACACCAGAGACATTTTCATATTCGTGTCTCCAGCCTTAACATTTTTATCTTCATAACCCAGGTAGATGAGCTGCTGAAACAACGAGATAATATCCACTCTACGTTCTCTGTCACTCGGACAGTGAATAATAGTGGGGCTGGCAGTGGATTAAGTAATGGAAGTGGCAAATTCCCTGGTGAAGATTCAAAGGCTGATCAGAGTCCAGGGGAAGATGGAGGCTCCGACGGAAAAGATAAATCAGCCAAAAAGAAATGGTTTAATCTCAATTTAAAAGGATCGGACAAGAAGCTCGGTTGAAAAGGTGCTTGAAGTTGGAACCAATGTTTTTTATTATTTGGAAAGGGGTTCCTATATCCATTTATACAAATTTTAAACGCCCGTTGCTTGCGGCTCGAGAGAGGTCCACCTTGTATTGGTTTTCAAATGTTCCTCTCTTCTGGTTCCCAAAATGTTGTTCATTATGATTTTATTCCATTAGAAAGGTATATGTACTAATGTATTTACACTTTTTCGAGATGGGCCTGTTCATGTAGGAATTTGAATCTTTGTAGTCTTCTTGAGCATTCTTCTGGATGCGTAATCTTTTGTTGAGTTTGGTGTGTTGGTATATAATCTGTAAAAAAAAAAACATGCAAATTCAAATCAAAAAGTTGTTTTTCTAATGTTCGTTTTTTTATTTGCCTTTTGGTGATTTTGGGATTGATTTACAGCTCCTAAAATCATTTTGCACAAAAAAAACGATGTAATTATAGTATTTAGCGAAAGCAAGCACTTTGCATTCATATTTAAAAATGCAAAGGCCAATTATCAAGTTGGAATTTGGAGCTTTTAGTAGTGCTTTTATTAAAAGCACAACAATCTTAAACTGGGATTCATATTATAGACCGCACCTTTGATGGATCATTAATCACCGCCTTTTTTCGCGATTTCGAGCTATAATCTTGAAAAACGCTTGGAGGCATTACTCTATTCATATTTTTAGACTCATTTTTTTATTAGAGTATAGTACTCAACATCATCGATGTCTTTTAGTATTATTCTTATAATATTTATTTAGTTATTTTCTCATGCACCGATATACTATTATCTCCCCATAATATCTCTAGGGCTTAAAATCTGTAATGCAACATATTTTCTTTTCTTTTTTTTTTCTTCGCTAGATTGTGCACTAATATTTTTTGTGAGAAAGACAAGGAAAATGAGTTAGAAATCCATGATCCATTCGTCTGTTGGGTTTTTCTTTTTCAGATGAAAATCTGTGAGAGTAGCCCAATGTTGCGGGTTCTACTTTTTTTTTTTTTTTTTTTTTTTTGATAATTGCGGGTTCTACGTTTGGTCTTTCCCACTTGCCACTAGACAAATATGGTATGGTTGATCCCTTATTAGACCACCTTCATCCTAATTTGCTGTTCAATTTTATTAATAAAACTACAATACATCTAAAATTTTGGGATTCATGCACATCCCATTCTTTAACTATTGGATAATGTGTAATATTTACATACATATATATGAGTTGAGTTGTTGAAGCAAGCTGTTTAAGTGTATGATTGATGTAAATATGCGCGCGCGTCTATATATATATATATATATATATAATTATATATATTTACTTTTGGCAGAATCAAAATTGTAAGAAAAATGTTTAGAAATGATAAGCACCACTGATAAAAATAAATAAATCACATTATTCTATTAAGAGTACTATCAATGTCTAATAGTATTATTAAAATTGTAAGTATTTTCAATTTATCCGAGTATTGATTCTACATCAGTAATTTGCAAACACATCATATCCTGAATTCCACGATTAAAGAAATGTTTCTTCACCAGCTGAGTTCATGAATATTCTTCCCTTAAAACGATTGGTTGCCACGCGTCGATATCTATACCTGATAAGCTTATAGTCAATGCTAGAAGTTAGAACCTAAGACTGGTGAAAAGATAGTAGATTAGATTGGATAGTCCAATAATGACCTCGTAAAAGTTGCACAGGTGGACTTTCTTTTTTTTTTCTTTTTTTTTTTGTGTGTGTGTCCATTCCTATAAAATTAATTGAAGTCGTTTTACACTTGAAACTTGCTTAGAGCATCTAAAAGATAATACTATATTTTTCGGTAAATTTACCGCAAAGTATTGCAAATGTAAAATTTAATATTTCGATAGTTATTAGTTGGTATATTAATTTTTTATTTAATAATTACAACATCATTCTTTTAAAATTATTTTGATATAAAAGTTTTTTTTAACAAGTTTCAAAATTTATTGCTCATTTAGTTCGTTGATTTGAGTTTTTAATTCGAATTGATATGTGATTTTATGTAAGTGCTTTTTACTGTAGTAAAATGTTAGATGTGAGTATAGTAAAACTCGAATTCTAAACTCGAATCGGTGAAATAAATGAGGCCTTAATAAGCATTATACATTAAAACACATGGAATAGCACATTGAATATGTTATTTTTATTTTTTTAATTGTAAATATAACTTTGGTATTTGGATTTGCATTGAATATGGTCTTAGTCATGTATCTATGTCACATATCATCTCGTTTGTATATGTATGCATATGTAGTACGAGTAAACTGTTTGAACAAGTACAACCTTCTGTTGGTTTGTCTTTCACAATAACACAAGATTGAGTGATACTTTCGTGTTGGTAAAATTCAATGTTGAGTTGGTGAATTTCGTAGGAATTGAACATCTCATCTCAACAAGACTCTAGATTACTTATCAAAAAAAGAAAAAAAAAATTTTTACAAGACTCTAGATTAGTAAGATGTCACTCTTGGAAATGTACTTGAAACGTAAAGCAAAAGAAAATTCTTTGGCATTGTGAATTTATTTGTCAAATTTAACAAAAAAAAAATTACAGTTGTTTTTCACCTTTTTTTTTTTTCCGAATGAATACATTTTGAAACTTTCCAAATGAAATTGGACTGAAATGTAAGACGCCATTGACCCAATGGTGGACGGAGAAAAATGAGGGTGAAATGTCACTCATTTTTTTCATTTGTGTAGTGATCCAGAAATAGTGGGTCAGAAAGGAGAAAAACTGAAAATGGCCATTAAACTTGCAACATTTGTTGTTAAAGAAGAGCAAGTGTCATGTTTTCTACATCCTTTTTCTCCTCCGAAATAAATACAAATTTTTCAAGGAGTGCGACAAGGACAATAACTGAAAAGGATTTAATTTACAGTGTAAACAAAATCGTCATTAAAAAACCAATTCTTGGTCGAACAAAGAAAATGATTAATTCAAATTAATAGCAGAAGTTTTGGGATTTCTTTTGCAAAGTCCGGCCACAACAAAAGTTTCCAACATGTATCAAATGGAACCTTGTGTGAGCGGATCATTTATATAACTCAAATTTGTCATTACTTTTTAGAGTTTAATATGATGATCTGACTAGATGTTCAACTACCTCAATCATGCTAAAGAGTTAGACTTAGTATCCACATACTATCTTGCATTACCCACTTATTCAATATAAATTAGTACATCCCAATTAATTTGACATCATTCACAAATTTATGCGACAATAAACCTTTCATGTACTCAGATTTATTAATTGTAAAAATAACACATATAAAAGTTTAAATAAGTGAAACATCAAATGACTGTATATAAGCATCAACAACCACTAGATAAATAGACCACTTGGAAAAGTCGGATCTACTCTTTCGGTATGAGAAATCAAAATATGGCTCTCATACTAAGATAGGGCCATCAATCAGTAAAAAGGACTAAGATATGGTAAGTTGTACAGTCTCACATCGTCTGAGTATAGTTATAGATGATTCTTTATAAAAAAGACACCACCTCCTAATAATACAAGGTCTTTTGAGGTGAAAGCCAAAAACAAAATCGTGCGAGCTCAGGCATTGAAAAATCTTGAAGGCTCTGACCTTCTAAAGTTACGCGTCAAAAGCTTACCAATTCAGTCACAAAATTTGTCACTAGGCAGTTTAGAAGCATGCCTATGAATTAAAATCCACCACAAATTTAAATAAGGCACCACATCCACCAAATGTCCATAGTAATATGAAATCCATTACGTGGCCAATCAATCCGCAACTCTATTGCCTTTTCTATAAATATATGAGAGACTACAAAGTTCTTGGATAAACGCTCCATAATCATGTCAATGATCTCACCTTATGTTTCGAAAGAATTGGATAATAGTGTTTTTAAAGAAACACAAATTATAAGAATCTTTTTTCCGATTAATTCAATACTCTGCGCGTTCCCTTTTAGGAAAAAAATAATGGATCCATTAAGCTAATAAATTATGCTTAAAGCTTTGTAAATACTAAAAACAAAGAAAACATGGAGTATATTATCATTGTTTTGAGAATACTTACAATTGAATTGAAAAGAAAAAGAGAGACTAAAATTCAGATATTGGACATATAGACTAATAAGTGATCTATATTGATAAATACATTTTATCCAAGGTTCTTTGCTTAAAATAAGCACATCAAGGAGATTATAAGGAAAATGCTTGAAGCCCCTCTTTGGTTAGGTAATAAGACCAATTCCTACATGGAATATGTTAATGCATTTTTTATAACACTTATAGTTAAGTGAGATTAATTCAAAAAAAAAAAGAGAGTTTTTTAATTTCAAAAAACAGATTGAGAATGATCTCAAAATTTAGGCACTGCTAATGAGGTTAATCAAAGAATATTTATCAATATAGATTATTATGTCCTTGAGAAATACTAAGTATTTTTCTTTGAATGCATTATACACATGTTCTTGATGACATCTACATTAGAAGATCACGTACGATGAAAAGGGCCCCACTGGAAGAAGAGGCCAAAAGAGGCAGTTGCCATTGTAAGGAGATTGACCCCAGAAAAATGAAAAAAAAAAAAAAGAAGAAGAAAAAAGAAGAAGGAAAGAAACGGAAAAAAGGCTGGAATACATGAGAAACCATCCAAATTACGTGTGCTTCTAATGGGAGACTTAACCACATAGGATTTGATTTATTCCAAACAACATTTCTAAGTTATAGCGCCCATCATTAATTGGCTAATATATATTGAGTATGCATGTGGAAAAACTGGGACAGAATTAATCTTCAAGATTACACAAAATCAATCACCCATTAGATTGGTTAAAACACCTGTGGAAGACATTGTTAAATGTTAATTGCCCAAAAGAAATGATAACTATACTGAATAAATTAATTACTATTCTGCATCTCTCATTTAATTAGTAAAGAAGAGGTACTTTCAAGTCCAACTTATCTAATTGGAGCTAGTAGTTGAGAATTCTCCAAATGGTACAAAATGAGTATAAATAATAAGAAACTGATCATTAAAAATAATAATAATCATAAGCTATATGCCGCCTAGGATTGGATTGACCAAATAAATGAGCAAGTACACCTCAGAACACCTGTGAAAATTGAGGGATATGACTTAATGCACACACAAGCAATTCTCTTTGAACTTAATTTCTTTAATCAAACAACTTTGTCTTGACTTGTGTTTAATGTAGTAGACTCATTATAGTTTATAGTTTGGTTTGAAAGATCCACTCACTTGGATCTTTCCAAGGGACAAATTCCTCCAGAATTCAAGGTATTTGTTTGTCTAAGCTTCTTTGCTTAAAATAAGC